GTTACTATAAGTATATAGAATATATTTATTAGCACTTTTATAAATTCTAGCTTACTAGCTATTAATCAAACTTCTTTATATTAACTAAGCCTAATATATATTAAATTTACTATTAAGAGATATAATACTTTAATAACGCTTAGTTTTACGCCCTATGCAATCTGCTAATAATAAACCTAGTATGGCTTAGTTTAATATAGTTAGACCTTACCATTATAGCTAGAGCATTATATATACTCTTATAGCAGAGAGGTATTTTGCCTACTAGAGCTATTTTAATATAATTAAGGTATAATATAAACTTAATATATATAAAATATCTTTTTAAAAAGTATATAAGTAAAGCTATTAGAGGTATTTCTCTAGGAGTTATAAATAGTTAAGGACTAAGTTAAACTTAATTATTTATTATTAAGCTTTATTTACTTAAATAAAATTAATTTATATATCTTATACTTAATAGTATTAGGTATAGTAAGCAGCTTATATAAATGGGTTATTAAATATTATAAAGGCTATATAAGGTTGTTTAAATATAAGTATTTCCTAATTAACCTTATTAAGAAACCACGCATACTTATAAGTCTCTATAATATATTAAAATCCAAGACCTTCTATCTATTAAAGTCTATTAGGCTGGCCTGAATTAGGTTAAAGTTAAAGATCTTACTAATAACTGCTAGACTTTTATATAAGGCCTCTAGAGTACAAGAACTAGAGGCATTAAAGGAATATAAGTATGATTTAGGTATATTCTTATATTATAAAGTAAGGGTCTTAAAGGCTATAGATTATTTTAAATCTAATATAAAATTTATTAATATTCTATTATAGCCAGTATAGTATAGTCTTTATTATAAAGTTATAATATAGAGAGTTCTAATTAGCTAATATTATAAAATACTTATCTTATAATTACTAAGTATAGAACTCTATATTAATAATATTAAAGAGGTTATTAGAGATATAATACTCTTCCTTAATATTAAATAACTTTTTTATTAACCTTAATAAAGTAAAATAGTAGTAAATCTTAATATATAAGTATTCTTTTATTAATACTACTAGCTAAAAACTAAGGGCGCCCTTTATTAATTCCTAAGTTTATTATAACTTTTTATTTAATATAAGGGTTTTAATTATAGTATTAGTAAATAGATAAATATTCCTTATTATAATAACCTCTTTAATATTAAGGTAAAACTAAAAATATAAAAATCTAGCTATATATTATAAGGATTACTAATTTATTTTAATAATTAGGCTTTTAGTATTATAAAGTATATTAAAAAATAGAATATTTGCTTTTTAATTTCTTAGGCAGTAATATTATTCTATATTAGATATAAGTATAATTAGAGATAATAATACTTATATAAAAGTATCCTAGCTAGAATATACTTTAAATTATTAATATTACTATTTAATATGCCTTTATTACTAATTAATATAGCTTAAGATACTTATTAAGGATAGGTCTCCTTTCCTATATTAAAATAGAAGTCTATTATAATATTCTCTTTATTAATTATATAAGCCTAGTAATTTTAAAATTATATTATTATTTATAACTAGGTAATATCTTTTATTAAGACCTTTAAGTTCTTGGCTTATAGGAGCATAGTAATATTATAAAAGTAATAAAAACCTAGTTCTTAAATTATATACTAAATAGAAGCTTATATAGCTCTTAAAGACTTAGGCAAAAGGTAATGTTTAAGCTATTACTTTTAAATAACTAGATATAAGAATTACTATAATAGTTATAAATAATAAGAAGTAATATACTATCTATCTATATATAGAAATCTTTATTTTAAAGCTAACTAGACTTTTACTTTTCTTAATATAAGTTAAGGAAATATAAGTATAGGAATATATCTTTAAATCTAATAAGGTAACTAAAAGTATAATATAGGATTTAATATATAGGATAATAAATTTAATACTAGTTTCTTATTATATTTAGGTATTATACTAGTCTTAGGCAAAGGTAGAAATTTAACTATAAATCTAAAACAGGTATCTAAGTAAGAGACTAGTAAATTCCTTACTTAGCAATAGTAAGGTTACTAGGAAACCCTATAATGCTATTTATATTAAAGCTAACCCTAGTAATATATATAATTTATTTATCCTTAGTTAAGTAGATATAAGGCGCTTAACCTCTAGAGCTCAGATTATAATAAGCTTATTACTAGTCTAAGCTACTTATTTTTTTAAAAAGATTATTTTTTAGAGATATAATATAAGTAAAGCTTAAAACCTTAAGATAAATATTTATAATACTTTCTAAGTAAGTAATAAGGCTAATATATTCCCTTTTAGTCTAATTATATTAAGCCTTTATTAAATAGTAATAGTCTATATAATATCCTTAAAACTTAATTAATTATTATACTAGCTAATATTTAAAATATTTTACTTAATATTTATAATCTATATTAATAAGTAATAAGGTTTTTATAATATTAACTATAGCTACTAAAGCTAGGTTTTCTATATTACTTTTAAATATCTTAAAACTAGTAATTATACTCCTAGAACTTTATTACTTCTTAAAGGGAATTTTCTTAATAAATATAATTCTAAGGGAAAGGTAGGTAAAAAAGGGAGATATAAGAAATCTAAACTATTAAGTTCTAGAGTATAATATTTAATCTCTAATAATATAGTAGTATTCTTAAGTTAATAATTAGACTATTAAACTAAGGCTTTATTATTAACTTAAAGTAAAATAAGGGGTAAGGAGAGAGTACCTGTATTATAGAAGTAAGTATATTACTTAGCCCTTTTATTAGAAGTTACTTTCTACTACTTTACTTACCTTTATTTAATATTTGTATTTATTTTATTTTAAGGAGTAGTATATTAATATAGTTATTTATACCTTTTATATCTAAGCTTAGAACTAAGTAATTTATTTATATTAATAGGTATTATTCAAATATATAAAATAGAAGTTTAAGACTAATAGGAATAAAATAAAATAAATAAAGTACTTATATAAATATATTTATAAACCCCTTAAGGTTATAGATATAAAGATTACTTAATTAAATAGAGTTAGCGCAGGTATGTAATATGCTAGCTTATAAAAGGACTAGTTTTAATTATAAAAATTAAATTAGGTTTAGTTTTAATTATAAATTTATAATTAGCTATAGGCTGGTAAAGTAATAATAAGGTTTATAATTAATATAAGTAATAATATTATAATAAAAGTAGGAATAAAGATAAAAAGAGTTTTAATAATATCTAAATAACCTTAAGACTAGGTATAATATATAAAAAGTAGTTTTAATTAGCTCCTTATACTTATATCTAGTTACCTTTTTTATAATATCTATATATACCTGCATCCTTAATAATACACTATACTTACTATTAAAATAATAATACTAACTATAAATACTATATTAATAACTTACTTACCTTATATAATAAATATTAGTAAATAACCTTAGTCTGCCTTATAGCCTAAAATAACTTATAGTATAATATAATAAAATATATTAAACTATTATATATAAATATATTATATATATTACTATTTATTATATTCTTATATTAAATACTTAAATTTCTATAGCCTGTACTAGCTAGCTAGATATTATATATAGTAATAAAAACATCTTTTTTATTAACTCTTTTACTATTTACCTATATAATTATATTACTCTAGCTTAAAATAGCCTTTTATCCTCTTTTTTATAATTAAATTAAATCTTTTAATAGCTTAAGGATTAGTAATTTACTATATACTCTAATTCTTACCAGCTTTTAACTATATATAATTATAGTTATTTTCTAAAAATAAATACCTTACTTTATTATTATTATAATTATGTTTAAATAATAATTATAAGATCTATAATAACTAGCTAATATTATTTACTATAATTAATATTATTATTAACTTTTATACTTTATCTTTTAATAAAAATAATATCTTTATAAACTTGCCTATTTAAAATTATATTTAGTAATACTTAATATAATCCCTAACTTAATTAATTATCCCCCTAGCTAGTATATTAAATTAGATATATACCTTATAAATCTAATTTATTAATATTAACTTAGCTTTAGCATTACTAGATATAACTATTATTAACTACTGCACCTTCTTATATAGAAACTAAAATATACTTATAGCCTCCTCTTTTACCTCCTTTTAGGCTTCTCTCTTATCTAATAACCTACCTTCTTATTACTACTTATCTATCTTAACCTACTTTAACTAGGCTACTTTAGCCTATCTCTTTATATATAAATAGTATATAACTATAATATAGGTAATTTTAATAATAGCAGAATATATAGGTATATAATCTAATAATCTTATTATAGCTTATAATATTAACTTAATTATTTAATCCTCTTTTAATTACTATATATCTAGATTATTAATATATACTTTAATAATTTTATTTAATTTATTAAGTAATTTACTTTATTACCTTAATAATTAATACCTAGGCCTATTTTTATTTACTATAGCCTTTATATAATATATATAATATACTAACTTAATTTATATAATTATATAATATACTTATATATTATCCTTTATTTAGATATTAAATAGCTGCCTTAGCTTCTTATTTACTTCTTTTTATTATATTTTAAATAATACCTAGCTATAAACTTATATTAATATAACTATTTTTTTTTAAGTTTGCAAGTTAGCCTCGAAAGGTATATCCAAGCATCTCCAGAGTCTAATATAGTTTAAACATTTATTGCCCCTACAGCCGGCAAAGCTTCATTAAGTCAAATTATCATAGTTAGCTGCCTCAATTGCAGCCTGAACCTAGCTGCACATATGCCAGCTGAAAAGCCCTGCTCATCAGCTGGCCCTAACCTTCTTCCTATAACCCACCTGAAAGGTCTTTCATCGACCTCTGCTGCATACCACGCTTCAATCATCCATCACGCAGTAAGTCATCCGACCTGACCCGAATACCTTCTGGCCGCAACCGCTAACAGCATCATAGCTGCCCCGTCACGATGCCTGCTATCCGAAGAAGCCTGCAGGCACCCAGGCCCGACAAGCCTTATCTAACTAAAGGCCATAATATAATCCCTAAGATTGAAGAAGCTCTTAGGCGAAATAAGGGCAAGGGCAATATACTGTATATAATGGCTATAGATATTAGAGAGGCCTAGTTTAATAAGGATAATACTAGCTGTATTAGGATAGCAATCTTTAGTTATAAGATCCTCCTGCCTATATAGTCTATTTATAAGAACCCTCTAATTAATAAAGACTTCCTTAAATGCAAGAAGCAGAAGCTTAAGGATCTAGAAAGGAAGCTATATAGAGGGGTATAGCCAAGCAGGAGGGAGAGGGGGTTCCTTAGGGCCCTTAACGGCGGCTTGCATAACGAGTGGCTTAAGGATATCTGGTAGCAGGCCAAGGAGGTACTGGAGAAGACCGAGAACCTGTGAGGATAGAAGCGGGGTAATCGCGGGGTTCTGTAGAGGAAAAATGTATTGAGTTTTGTATGAGTTTAGTTGCCTGAAGTCAAAGACCTAAAGTCGTGACTAAATTTGGCGTTAGCGGCGAAAAGAGGATTAAATAAGTCACGAGACAGATCACGTGACCAAATGAGCAAATCAGCTGTAATATCAGTGCACCATTAATATAAACAGGGGATTAATATAACTATAATATAGGCCTGGTTTATTATTTATATTAAACTATTTTATATTAACTATAATATATACTTATACTTACTTACTAAGTTAATTAATTATATTATAGCTTTTAGGTTAAATCCTTTTAAATAAGTTACCTATCTAATATATTTTACTTATATATTAATATCTATCTTTATATTAGCTACTTTAATCTTTTTTTTATTTTTTATTTTAAATTAGTATTAGTATTACTTTAGTACCTAGTTTATTTAATTAATAATAGCTACTTCCTTAGGCACTACTTAGCTAGCTTATTTATTAAACCTAACTTTAAACTAACTACTGCCTAGTTTATTATTAAATAACTATTAATACTAGACCTTAATATATTATAATACTTACTATATTTTTATAACTTACTTTTAGGCACTTTCCTCCCTCCTTTAAGGATTAATTTATTTATACTCTTTATAATAATATTATTATATACCTTATATTATACTAACTATATATAAATAACCTTCTTTATTATATTTAAGCTTTTAGCTTAGTAAATAAATAAATAATATAAAATTAATTATTAGTAATAGTAATAGTTATATTATTAAATTGCTTTACTTTTAGATACTATTAAGGTTATATTAGATTATTACCATAATCTAGCTTCTTTTTGCTGCTTATATTAACTTATAATATCTCTTTATATACTATAGCACTTCTTTATTAATATATATATATTAATATTCTTTATAAATAATAAATAAAAACTAGGGTAGTTTTATAAATAGATTTATATTATTTATAATTAATACTATTAGCTTATAATTATTAAATACTAATAAATTAATTATTAATTACTTTATTTTAATAATTAGTAATTATTATTTATATTTATTAATATACTTACTTTTATAATTATTATAACTTAAACCTTAACCTTAATTTAATTATATATATTATTATAAGTTTATACTTATTATAAATTAATAGCTTATAATAATATTAATATAATATATAGTTATATTTACTATTATAACCTAGCTATCTTTTAAAATTTTCTTACTTTATAATTATTTTATACTTATTTTCCCTTATTCTTTTAATTATTATTAAGTATATAAAAATACATAAACTAATTTAGGTAAATAATTTGCTAATTATTATTTACTTTTAATAATACTAAATATAATAAACCAGATTTTAAACTAATTATAATACTGCAATATTAAGTTCTTATAGCTTAAAGTTAAAATAAAATATATCTTAATAATTACTAATTAATATATTATCTTAAAAGTTATTTTTTCTAACTTTTAATAATAATAACCTATATCTATTAAGGGCAATGGATTTAGGTCCCTGTCTTTATTAATATAGTTTTATTTTATATATATTTTCTATTAGATTTAGACTTATATCTGCCTTATAGCTAGGATAGGCTTAGAGGCTAGTTATAGGTTTTCTTTTAGCTATAAGGGCAAGGAAAGGTCTTTCTTAAAGACCTCTTTTTAGGCTTCTAATAAGGAAAATAAGCCTATTTTACCCCCTAATAGCCCCTCTAGGCCTAGTACCCTATAAGAGCCTACCTTAAAGTAGCTATATAACTAACCTATAGCCCCTATCCTAGAAAAAGCCTTTATAAAGAAGCTATTAGCTTTTTTAAAAGTCCCTATTTTAGAAAAAAGGCTACATACTAGGCAGGCTATTATTTTTATAGTAGTAGTTAATAAGGCAGCTAAGGCCTTCTTAAAAAGGCCTATAAAAAGGACCTTATTAGACTTCCTTTTTCTCCTTAGGCTCCTAGGGTTAGGGCTCTAAAAAGGAGGCCTAGGCACCTTATTAAGGTCTTATCCCTTTAACCTCCCTACCTTAAAGAGCTTGCAGGTCTTATAGCAGCCCCAAAATTACCCCAAGGCAGCTAGACCTTCTAGAGCCCCTGGCCTAGCCTAAAAGGCATTTAAGCTATTAAAAAGAGGCTACCTAGGCCGGGCTGCTAGGGCCCTTATAGACCCTACCCTAGTAGCCCCTAATACTATTAAAAATAAGGCTATTTTACTAGAAAAGCACCTTATAGGCTCTATAGACCCCTTCTAGGGCAAGACCCGCCTAAGACCTAGCTAACTAATTACACCAAAGGCTATTTTAAAAGCTATTAGGTTTATAGGCAAGGAAAAGGCCCCTACTAGACCTAGTAGTAGCTAGGGAAGATTCCCCTATAATAGCCTTCCTTAGCCTGCTAGCTAATATAATACATTAAGGCATAGCCCTAGGCACTAATTTATTATATACTAGCTGCCTTATAGGCCTAGAAAAGCCAGGTAGGGGGGTTAGGCCTATAGCTATAAGAGATCTTATTTATAAGGTAATTATAAAAGCAATCCTTATAACCTCTTATAGGTTTATAATGCTGCTACCTTTCTAGCTAGGTGTAAACAGCTTAGGAGGGGTTAAACTAGCTATCTTCCTTTTAAAAGAGGCTATTTTAGGCCTTAACAATACTGATTTTTAGCAGCTAGCCTTTATAAACCTTACTAATGCCTTTAACTTAATAAATAAGGCCTTTATAACTACTTTAGTAATTACTTATATCTTTACCTTTTATAAGGCAGTAGCTTAGGCCTATAATAGCCCTTTTCTTTTAGTTATAGAAAAGGGGGGTTATTTAGCCTCTTTTAAGGGGGTTAGACAAGGAGACCCCCTAGGACCCTGTTTATTTTCCTTAGCTTTTCGACCTACCTTAGAGACCTTAGCAGCCAAGCTGCCTAAGGCTACCTTAGTAGCCTACCTAAATAACCTTTATATCCTTAATCCGGCCCCTAACAGCACCTTAAAGGCAGCTAGGAAGGTCTTTTCTAGGTCCCCTTTCTAGCTTAACTTAGTTAAAAGTAAGTAAATAGCTATAAGGGACTTAAAAGAGAAAGGAATTAAGGCCCTAGGCTCCTTTATAAGGCTTATAGCACCTAAAAGAGCCTTTTTAAAAGGGAAAATAAAGACCTTATAAGAGGCCCTAACTGCCCTTTAACACCTTCTAAAGCAGTATGCCTTGCTCCTTCTTAAAGAAAGTATTTAACTCCTCCTTAAGCACTTATAAAGGCAGTTAAACCTTATAGGCCTAGAAGACCTTTAAAAAGAAGCTAATAGCCTTATTAAGCAGGGTATTATAGCCTTATTAGCTAAAAGCTTTAGTAACTACCTTAAGGAGCCTAACCTAGACCTTATAGCCTTTTTAATTTAGGAGGGAGGCCTAAGAATTCTCTTATATAAGGAGTTAGCTATATAGCTATATTAGGCAGCTAAGGAATCCTTTAAACCTACCCTAGAGAAAATTAAAAAAAGCCCCCTTATAGGTATAAGGCCTAGGCTAAGAAAACAGCCCAAAAGGTCTTAAAAGAGGCTAATAAAGCTAGGTTATAAAGCTTTCTTTAAGACCTACTTACTAGCTATAAGTAAGCTAGGCTAGAAAATACTAGCTATTTAAGCTATAAGTAGCTAGGAGTCTTGCCTATTAAGAAAGACCTATTTTTTACAGACTTTAAGATTACTTAAGCCTTAAAAAGTAAGCTCTTTTACTTTATTAAGCCCCCTAGCTTGCCTTATAGCTCCTATAAGGCTATAGCGGCCTTAGACTATAAGGATACCTATAAGGGTGCTTCTAGAAGGTAGATTGCAAGGTATAATAAGATTGTAAGGGCCTTTTATAAAGCCTTAAGTAGCTAGCCTTTCTTAAAGGTTAAAAAAGAACCCTTAGTTAATAAGGAGACTAGCTTATAGGCTAACCTAGTAGTTACCTTAAGAACAAGCTGGTATTTCTATAATATCTATATTATTGCTATTTTTAAGAATTTAGCTAGGGAGGACCCTTATAGCACTCTTACAGAGGCTGTAGAGGAAAAACACCGGAAATATAAGTCTTTAAGGGCCTTTTTTTAGCTTATTATTATATTTATAGGTGGCCTTATAGATTTAGAGACTGCTAAGACCTATAAGAAGCTCCAGGAGCTTATAGGCCCTATAGCAGCTGCCTAGCTTAATGCCACTATAGGCCTAACCTTAACTAAAACGCGGGCTATCTTAATAGCTTCTATAGCTAAAGAGATCCCTATTAGCCTAGCTAGGTTAGCCTGGAATACCTCTAAAAGGTCTCCCTAGACCTCTTTTAGGCTATTTAGCCTTATATCCCTCTTTTCTAGCTTTTCTAGCTATAACTCTTTTCCTAGCTTTCTAGCTATATTTCTTTTTTAACTTACTAGCTATATCTCTTTTCTTAGCTTTTTAACTATATCTCTTTCCTAATTATATTTCCTTTCCTAGCTTTCTAGCTATATCCCTCTTTCTAGCTTATTAGCTAAATCTCTTATATCTGCCTTTTCTCCCTTTATACTTTTCTTTTATTTCTTTATATCTTAAAAAATCTCCACTCTTTTATCTTATTAGCTAGATCTTAGTTAGAGAAAAACACCAGGGTAAAGATAGCTTAGATAGTTAATATTAACCCTATCCTAACCGTAATGCAATTACCTCCTATAGCTGTGCCCTAACTGTCCTATAGCAGTTGCGGTAGTAATGCTTGACCTGATCTATGCCGGGCTTGATGGCGGCCGGGCAGAGGAGGCAGAGGAGGACAACAAGCTGTTTGCAGGCTAACAAAACAACAAAGCCACAGTTAGCAAATAAGAGCTTTTGGGAGTAAATATAACTAATATATTTTATATTAATTTACTACTTCCTATTTTATAATTTAATACTAAATACTATTACCCTTTATAAATCTCTAAAGAATTATATATTTTTACCCTTTCTTACTAGCTTTTCTATCTTAAGGCATATAATAGCTATAATAATACCTAAGGTTTAACT